CCTATTTTTAAAACTGCACAACGTTTTAGCCTCAATAACTGTACTCGGGAGTTTGTTCCACTCATCCACAACTCTATTACCAAACCAGTGCTTTCCTATATCCTTCCTGAATCTGAATTTTTCCATCTTGAAACCATTGCTACGAGTCCTTTCTTGGCTGGAAATTTTCAGCACGCTATTTACATCCCCTTTATTTATTCCTGTTTTCCATTTATACACCTCGATCATATTCCCCCTAATTCTACGTCTTTCGAGAGAGTGCAAATTCAGGGCCCTCAGTCTATCCTCATAGCGAAGATTTCTGATACATGGGATCATCTGTGTCATCCTCCTCTGTACGTTTTCCAGAGCATTTATATCTATTCAGTAATACGGTGACCAGAACTGAGCAGCATAGTCTAAATGAGACCTAACCAAGGATATATAAAGTTGAAGAACAACCTGAGGACTTCTATTATTTATACTTCTAGATATGAAACCAAGAATTCTGTAAGCTTTATTGCAAACACTAATGCACTGTTGTCTAGGTTTTAGATTACTGCTAACCAGAACTCCTAAATCCTTTTCGCAATCAGTAGTATTAAGATCTACATTATTTAGTTTATATGTGGCATGGTTATTTAACTGTCCAACATTTAGAACCTTGCATTTGACAATATTAAACTGCATCTGCCACTTCTCCGACCATTGCATCAATCTATTCAAATCATCCTGGAGTGCTCTAATGTCCTCATTAGAATGAGGTGGACGGCCTATCATCAGCAAATTTGCTTATGTCGCTATTTATTCCCTCATCTATGTCGTTTATGTAAACTGTGAACAACAACGGGCCCAACACTGACCCCTGAGGAACACCGCTTGTGACGTGCCCCCATTCTGATTTCTCCCCATTTATGCAGACTCTCTGCTGCCTATTTGTCAGCCATGCCTCTACCCAGGAAAAAATTTCTCCTCCTATTCCGTGTGCCTTAAGTTTCCTCAATAGCCTCTGGTGTGGAACTGTATTGAAAGCCTTACTGAAGTCCATATACACAATATCATATTCATTACCATGATCTACCTCCTCAAACACCTTAGTGAAAAAAGTTAGTAAATTCGTAAGACAGGAACGCCCCTTTGTAAAACCGTGTTGAGATTCATTAATCAATCTGTGGCTATCAAGATGGCTACGAATTGCTTCGGCAATTATTGATTCCATAAATTTTTCCACTATGGAGGTAAGGCTTATTGGTCTATAGTTCGAAGCCAAGGACATGTCACCTGCCTTGTAAATAGGTATTACATTTGCCATTTTCCACTTATCAGGCACTATGCCAGTTTGTAGTGATATGTTAAAAAGATTAGCCAAAGGTATAAGAACATAAGAACATAAGAACATTAGAAAGAAGGAACACTGCAACATGCCTACTGACCCATGCGGAGCAGGTCCATGTCCCATCCCCCCGGATTAGACCAATGACCCACCCCCCGGATTATCCCAATGACCCACCCAGTCTGGTCATCCCCAGTCAAGGATGGAGCACTGTACCAGACCCAGCAGCACAAGCTAGTCAAGTCCAACTCACACCCACCCACACCCACTCATGTATTTATCTAACTTATTTTTAAAACTACACAACGTTTTAGCCTCAATAACTGTACTCGGGAGCTTGTTCTGCTCATCCACAACTCTATTATCAAACCAGTGCTTTCCTATATCCTTCCTTAATCTAAATTTTTCCATCTTGAAACCATTGCTGCAAGTCCTGTCTTGGCTGGAAATTTTCAGTACACTATTTACATCCCCTTTATTTATTCCTGTTTTCCATTTATACACCTCGATCATATACCCCCTAATTCTACGCCTTTCGATACATTCCTTTAACACCCTTGCAAACAGTCCATCAGGACCTGGGGATTTGTTAGGTTTTAGTTTCTCTATTTGTCTGAGGGCCATGTCACTAGTTACCGCAATCGTACATAGTTTATTATCCTGTTCTAGATAATCTATTATTTTAGGAATATCGCTAGTATTTTCCTGGGTGAAAACTGAGAGGAAGTAGGTATTGAGAATTTCATACATATCCTTATCACTGTTAGTGATCTGACCAGAGTTACTCTTAAGTGGGCCAATCATGTCCCTAATCTTACTTCTGTATACCTGAAAGAACCCTTTTGGGTTAGTCTTTGAATCCCTTGCGACCTTAGCCTCATAATCCCTTTTTGCTTTTCTTATTCCTTTCTTTATTTCTCTCTTTAATTGAATATATTGATTTCTTAACTGCCCATCCCCTATTTTGATACGCCTATATATGCCTCTCTTTTGACCTATGAGATGTTTTAATCTATTGTCCATCCATTTGGGATTATTTTTGTTAGATCTAATTTCCCTACTCGGAACAAAAGTTGTCTGGGCAGCTAGAACTATGCCTTGAAAAACGTCATATTGGCAACCAAGATCACCTACCTGACCCATAGTTAGGACATCCCAATTTAGCCCACCCAGGTAATTTTTCAGTCCCATGAAGTCGGCCAAGCGAAAATCTGGGACAAAGATTTGAATGCAGTTATCTGGGTAATTCCATGATATATTGAAACTAAGTGATTTGTGATCACTTTCCCCAAGCTCATCATTAACCTCAAGATTATTTAATTAGTGAATCTTTGTTGGCAAGAACCAAGTCAAGCAGACTGTTTCCTCTAGTTGGTTCTGTCACAACCTGTTCTAAAAAGCAATCCTGAACCGTATCAAGAAAGTCACTAGACTCAAGATTTCCTGTCATAGTGTTCCAATCAATTTGTCTAAAGTTAAAATCTCCCATTATCACAACATTTTCATATCTAGATGCCTTATGAATTTCGTCCCATAACAGCTTACTGCACTCCCTTTCAAGGTTTGGGGGGCTATAAATCACACCCAAAATTAGTTTGTTACGCCCCTCGAGAAACTGTAACCAAACAGATTCTGTGTTCTATGTTTCTAATCTTATATCATGTCTAAGACAACAATTTAAATTTTCTCTGATGTACATCGCCACTCCACTACCCTTCCTGTTGACTTTATCAGTGTGCAATAATTTATAACCCTGTATGTTGCATTCAGAAGGCACTTCTCTATCTTTCAGGTTGAACCAGGTCTCTGTTATACCAATAATATCTATATTGCCTACACTTGCAAGTAATCTTAGCTCATCTATCTTATTTCTTAGACTCCTACTATTTGTATAGTAAACCTTAAGGGAGCTAGTCACTCGTTGCCCTCTACTATCTCTCTTTGTTTGTTGATCAATTGATTTGCCATTACTAGCAACTTTATTTTGAATATTGTCTTTTAAACATATACCTGAGGTATCCCGGTAATAACTGCTGTTTTTAACCCTAATGCTGTAGCCTGATTGTTTCCCACAAACACCCATACCTCTATAATCTATCAGTTCAAATAGACAAGTCATCAATTACCCTCTCAATCGAATTGGCTAATGCAACCACTCCATCCCCAGAGAGATGAACCCCATCCCTTGCATACATATCACGTTTGCCAAAGAATAGGTCCCAATTATCAATGAATGGGATTGCAAGTTCCTTGCAGTACCTGTCTAGCCAGCAATTTATACCAATTGCCCTAGACATCCATTCACTGCCCATTCCCTTTCTAGGCAAGATGCTACATATGACTGGGATCACTCCCTTAGACCTAACTACTTCTTTGGCTGACCTGTACTTATCCAGCAGCTCCTCTCTCCTGCCCTTCCCAATGTCATTACCCCCAGCACTAAGACAGATAATGGGCTTTCCCCCATTACCTGCCATAATATTATCCAACCTGCTGTCTATGTCACCAACACCAGCTCCAGGAAGACACACTCTCTGTCTGACCTTCTGTCTCTGTTACAAAATACACAGTCCATATATCTTACCTGAGAATCGCCTACTATTAAAATATTCTTACCTTGATTAGCAGGGGAATCAGTGGTACCTTCAACCTCACTAACCACTGAAGTACACTAGTCTTGGAGAACAGAGAATCGATTTCCTACCTTCACATCTTCTCTATTAACTCTCTTCATCTTACTTCTTCCTGAACTGTGAACCACTTGCCACTTAAAGTGGCTGCTACTATCATTGCTGGTGACCATTTCCTCCTTACCAGCTAAATCCTTCTCACACTCGCTCCCAAACTCATCTATGCGAAGCTTCAGCCTCCTATTTTCCTCCTGAAGAAGTAGAATCTCCTTCTTCAACACTTGAACCTGAGATTCTAAAACACTACAACAAGCGATGGTGCTTGGTAACAGCCCACGCTAACTACCAAGAGCTTAGGCAGGTAGGACCGCAGGTAAACCACTGACCTCAGCGTCTACATGTATATACTCTTCAGTCTGGTCTGACAATTTGCTACTGGATTTTTACACCAACAAACGCACAGTTATCAAAGTTTGAGGAAAGGAAAAGAAGACCGCAGACAGAGTACATGCTAGGGGGTAAAGACTGCAAACCTCACTCAAGGAAAGGATTTTTGGGTGAATATTGCACCGAACATATTGCCTGAGGCGGACATGAATTAGATAACAGTTACAGTAAATGCGTTTTTAGCGAATATAAGACTAGCTTTTAGAATCTATGTAAGAAATCTTTCACAACATTGAATATTGTGTACATCAGGTCTATATTTTAGTATGCAGCCCCAGTAAGGAACCCAGACCTGGTCAAGCATGGCAGTAATTGGAAAAAGTAAAGAGGTTTGCTATGAGTCTGGCTTAAAGGATTGTCCTAGAAGGGAACTCGAAGACACTGGAGGACAGTACGACTAGGGATGATAGGATAATAACGTACAAAATCCAAGAGAATTTATTTGCTAAACAGTGGCAGAGTATTTGAGAGATGGGGAACTAACAGGAGGGCACAGCTGGAAATTTAAAGCACTGAACAGTCACAGGAACGTTAGAAAGTATTTATTCAGCCATGAAGTGGTTAAGAAGTGAAACGACAGGAAAACAAAGTAGAAAAAGCAGAATCGATACATGGCTTTAAGAGAAGGTACGGAAAGGTAACGAAGCCAGGAGATAGTGTATCTAACAGCGAACAGGAACACGCTGCAACCACATATAGATGAGTACATATGAGGGAGTACAAACATAAGATATAGCCAACTGCTTATTGAGATGTGTCTGTGACAACCAGTAATTAATACATATATCCATACTTGCGTAAATATATTTCCGACACTCAAATTTTCCACAACTTTCTATTACAGGTGCAGTGTGTACGTCCATCTACCATACAGTCCCCGGGGATCACAGCCGCTGCAGGTGGCATCCTGGACGCCACATCACGGCCTCGTTCTCACCTCTCACCTCCCACTCTTCCCTGACAAGTTCTCAAAGTGAGTATGAGAGGACGGAGATTTAATGAGTTAACTGGCCTATGACGTCATTATCACTGTCGGTAGTAACAGTAAGATACATAAAAACCCTAGGGTTTCGGTAAGTCTCTAGGGTCGAAAAGACTTTATCTCCAATATTCGCAAAAAAGATCCCCAAGTACAGGTAGGCGTAAACGATCTGGTATCGTCTTAACATTCAACTTCTTGAAGTAAATTACCGGTTGCCAAGCACCATCCTTCTTAGGCACTAGGATCAAGGGCGCACTTCAAAGTGAATTATTATGTGAAATGATGTCACCAACCATCTTGTTGACTAACTCTACTGCGACATCAACTTGCGAATGAGGCATTCTGTCTGCAGGTACATAAATAGGTTTAGTATCAGGATTAAGTGGAATACGATTGGACAGTAGGTTTCTTAAACACATTTTCTCACTTGGTAACGCGACGGCTCTCTGATATTTGTTTAAAAGCTGCAACAAACTCGTGACTTTGTCTGGGAAGTCGGTAGGAGCTAATTCTTTCTCATCTATTCTTTTTCATCTATTGTGTGTGTGTGAGTGTGTACTCACCTATTTGTACTCACCTATTTGTGGTTGCAGGGGTCGAGTCCTAGCTCCTGGCCCCGCCTCTTCACCGGTTGCTACTAGGCCCTCTCTCTCCCCGCTCCATGAGCTTTATCAAACCTCGTCTTAAAACTGTGTATGGTTCCTGCCTCCACTACGTCATTTTCTAGGCTATTCCACTGCCTTACAACTCTATGACTGAAGAAATACTTCCTACTATCTCTCTGACTCATTTGTGTCTTCAACTTCCAATTGTGGCCTCTTGTTTCTGTGTCCCCTCCCTGGAACATCCTGTCTTTGTCCACCTTGTCTATTCCACGCAGTATTTTATATGTCGTTATCATGTCTCCCCTGACCCTCCTGTCCTCCAGTGTGGTCAGGCCGATTTCCCTTAATCTTTCCTCATAGGACATTTCCCTTAGCTCTGGAACTAACCTTGTCGCAAACCTTTGTACTTTCTCTAGTTTCTTGACGTGCTTTATCAAGTGCGGGTTCCAAACAGGTGCTGCATACTCCAGTATGGGCCTGACATACACGGTGTACAGTGTCTTGTGTGTGTGTGTGTGTGTGTGTGTGTGTGTGTGTGTGTGTGTGTGTGTGTGTGTGTGTGTGTGTGTGTGTGTGTGTGTGTGTGTGTGTGTGTGTGTGTGTTAGACTTGATGAAGCTGTGTGTGTGTGACTTGATGAAGCTCTGAGAATGTGTGTGTAACTTGATGGAGCTCTGTGTGCGTGTGTGTGATTTGATAAAGCTGTCCAGTGCCATCTTGAAGACAGCCAGGGGTCTTTTGGTAAACCCCCTTATGTATGCTGGGAGGCAGCTGAACAGTCTTGGGCCCCAGACACTTATTGTGTTGTCTCTCAGTGTACTCGTTGCGCCCCTGCTTTTCATTGGGGGAATGTTGCATCTCCAGCTGAGTCTATTGTTTTCGTAGAGAGTATTTTTCGTGTTCAAGTTTGGTACTAATCCCTCTGGGATTTTCCAAGCGTATATTATAATGTATCGCTCTCGCCTGCGCTCCAGGGAATACAAATCAAGGGGCTTCAGCCGTTCCCAGTAATTTAGGTGCCTTATCGTACTTATGTGTGCCGTGAAAGTTCTTTGTACATTCTCCAGGTCAGCAATTTCGCCTGTCTTGAAAGGGGTAGTTAGTGTACAGCAGTATTCCAGCCTAGAGAGAACAAGCGATTTGAAGAGAATCATCATGGGCTTGGCGTCCCTTGTTCTGAACGTTATTATCCATCCTATCATTTTCCTAGCAGATGTGGTAGATGCATTGTTGAGATCTTTGAAAGTGAGATCCTCTGACATTATCACTCCCAGGTCCTTCACATTAGTTTTTCGTTCTGTTTTATACTCCGATATACTTTTAATTTCCTCGAGTTTTGAATATCGGAGTAATTGAAATTTTTCTTCAATGAACTCCACATTGTTTTTTTTCGGCTCATGTAAAGATTTGATTGATGTCCGCTTGGAGAAACCATACCACGGGCGGGATTGAATCGCCGGTCAGAGAGTCTCAAAACTCCAGAGAGTGGTCACAGTGGTGCCTATGCTAACCTTCCTATGGTGTAGAAATATACCTAGTTGGACGAATCTTATTGTGGCTAGCTGGTCCAGTGGCTAACGCGACGGTCTGGAGTTTTGAGACTCTCTGACCGCGGGTTCAATCCCGCCCGTGGTATGGTTTGTTTGCAATCGTGTCATTACTATTTCGGGAGTCCGCTTGGAATCTTGCAGTGTCTTCGACGGATGACACTGTCATGCAAATTCGTTTGCCATCCGCAAAGGAAGACACGGTGCTGAGGCTTACATCTGTATCTATGTCAGATATGAGGATGAGGAACAGGATGGGAGCGAGTACTGTGCGTTGTGGAGCAGAGCTTTTCACTGTAGCCGCCTCAGACTTTCTGTGTTTACTATTACTCTTTGTGTTATATTAGCTTTTCCTGTTATTCTTTTATTACGTATTCTATGCGCTGTTACACCATGGTCGCACTTATCGAAGTCTTTCGCAAAGTTTCTCTATATTACATCGACATTTTGTTTGTCCTCCAGTGCCTCTAAGACCTTGTCATAGTGGGCCAGTAATTGTTGCATCTCTTTCTTTGTGGGTGACTTAATGAAACTCTTATTATGTGGGTTACTTGGTGAAGCTGTCTGTTTGTGGGTAACTTAATGAAGCTCTTATTATGTGGGTTACTTGGTGAAGCTGTCTGTTTGTGGGTAACTTAATGAAGCTCTTATTATGTGGGTTACTTGGTGAAGCTGTCTGTTTGTGGGTGACTTGATGAAGCTCTATATGTGACTTGAAGCTCTGTTTGTGGGTGAAAAGATAAATCTCATATGAAATTCCATATGACTACATATGGAATTTCATGTGAGATTTATTTTCTATCACGAAAGCGCATAACTAATTACCAGAGACAAGTCAAAATTTTTTTTTCCATTTAACTCTAATTCCTAAAACACTGCCATTATAATGCACAATAGAAATTCCCTTGTAACGTGGTATACTAGGAGAAAAAATTGTCACACAACATTATATGAATAAATGGAAATAAATGGTATAAAATACCGACACAATGGAAATATAAACACATATGCAGTATAATGTGATCCTTTATTGACTACGTTTCGCCCACACAGTGGGCTTTTTCAAGTCACAAACCGAGTTCTGTTTGTGACTTGAAAAAGCCCACTGTGTGGGCGAAACGTAGTCAATAAAGGATCACATTATACTGCATATGTGTTTATATTTCCATTATATGAATAAAGTTGACCACAGGATTTAAAAAAAAAAAATGTGTGCTAAATATGGGCACAAATTTACTGAACATTTCTTTAATAAAATAATGAATTTTCGGTGAAGTAAAAGTTACGAAACTCATTATTTAATAGCAACTAAATATATTATAATATAGTATGGTATATCTGCACAGAAAGTGGTTATATAACAGACATGTTCGTCTTCTCCTAGATTATTTTATGGACCAAATTTACTGGTGGCAGCGGATGTTAATCCTTTTACTAAGATAACTACAGCAGAGAAGTCGATGAGTTGTGTTGTCAGTTGTGCTCAGTTCCTGGGTCCTGTGCCACGGCTGGTAGACTACTTAGCTACAGCACTAAACTTTACGTAAGTAAACCCTAAATGTTTACAGCTGATCGAGCCTTAAGTAGAAAGGGCGTGAGCCGACACCTGGGTTGTAGACATGGCATTAGCCAGCAGATGTTAATGGCTGCATGAGCTGATGATGGATAGACAGACGAGACATATGCCAGTAAGTAACATTAACTATTGGTAAGTAAACAAGGAGTAAACTGACAAGTAATAGGTAGGCACACAATACGAGAACACTTGGTAAGAAGGCAAGATAGACTTGGTAGATAGACTTGGTAAGATGACAAATGTAAGGTAGATAAGATGTAAGCTAAAATGTTCAACAGTACGCCAGGTCATAAAAACCACTTGCTTCCTCGCACTCCTAACACCCTCACACACACCTACTTCCCTCGCACACACCTACTTCCCTCACACACACCTACTTCCCTCACACACACCTACTACCCTCGCACACACCTACTTCCCTCACACACACCTACTTCCCTCGCACACACCTACTTCCCTCGCACACACCTACTACCCTCGCACACACCTACTTCCCTCGCACACACCTACCTACCCTCGCACACACACTACTACCCTCGCACACACCTACTACCCTCGCACACACCTACTTCCCTCGCACACACCTACTTCCCTCGCACACACCTACTTCCCTCGCACACACCTACTACCCTCCGCACACACCTACTTCCCTCCACACACACCTACTTCCCTCACACACACCTACTTCCCTCGCACACACCTACTTCCCTCACACACACCTACTTCCCTCGCACACACCTACTTCCCTCACACACACCTACTTCCCTCACACACACCTACTTCCCTCGCACACACCTACTTTCCCTCTGCACACACCTACTTCCCTCACACACACCTACTTCCCTCACACACACCTACTTCCCTCGCACACACCTACTTCCCTCACACACACCTACTTCCATCACACACACCTACTTCCCTCACACACACCTACTTCCCTCGCACACACCTACTTCCCTCGCACACACCTACTTCCCTCCACACACACCTACTTCCCTCACACACACCTACTTCCCTCACACACACCTACTTCCCTCACACACACCTACTTCCCTCGCACACACCTACTTCCCTCACACACACTTACTTCCCTCACACACACCTACTTCCCTCACACACACCTACTTCCCTCACACACACCTACTTCCCTCACACACACCTACTTCCCTCGCACACACCTACTACCCTCGCACACACCTACTTCCCTCACACACACCTACTTCCCTCGCACACACCTACTTCCCTCACACACACCTACTTCCCTCACACACACCTACTTCCCTCCACACACCTACTTCCCACACCCACCTACTTCCCTCACACACACTACTTCCCTCACACACACCTACTTCCCTCACACACACCTACTTCCCTCACACACACCTACTTCCCTCACACACACCTACTTCCCTCACACACACTACTTCCCTCACACACACCTACTTCCCTCACACACACCTACTTCCCTCACACACACCTACCTCCCTTCACACACACCTACTTCCCTCCACACACTACCCTAACTACTCCTCGCACACACCTACTTACCCTCGCACACACCTACTTCCCTCACACACACCTACTTCCCTCACACACACCTACTTCCCTCGCACACACCTACTTCCCTCGCACACACCTACTTCCCTCGACACACACACCTACTTCCTAACACCACCCTCGCACACACCTACTTCCCTCGCACACACCTACTTCCCACACATCACCACACACCCTACTTCCCTCGCACACACCTACTTCCCTCGCACACACCTACTTCCCTCACACACACCTACTTCCCTCACACACTACTTCCCTCACACACACCTACTTCCCTCGCACACACCTACTTCCCTCGCACACACCTACTTCCCTCCACACACCTACTTCCCTCACACACACCTACTTCCCTCACACACACCTACTTCCCTCGCACACACCCACCCTACTTCCCTCGCACACACCTACTTCCCTCACACACACCTACTTCCCTCACACACACCTACTTCCCTCGCACACACCTACTTCCCTCGCACACATCCTACTTCCCTCGCACACACCTACTTCCCTCACACACACCTACTTCCCTCGCACACACCTACTTCCCTCGCACACACCTACTTCCCTCGCACACACCTACTTCCCTCGCACACACCTACTTCCCTCGCACACACCTACTTCCCTCGCACACACCTACTTCCCTCACACACCTACTTCCCTCACACACACCTACTTCCCTCCACACACCTACTTCCCTCGCACACACCTACTTCCCTCGCACACACCTACTTCCCTCGACACACTACACTACTTCCCTCGCACACTACCACTACTTCCCTCACACACACCTACTTCCCTCGCACACACCTACTTCCCTCGCACACACCTACTTCCCTCGCACACACCTACTTCCCTCGCACACACCTACTTCCCTCACACACACCTACTTCCCTCGCACACACCTACTTCCCTCGCACACACCTACTATCCTCGCACACACCTACTTCCCTCACACACACCTACTTCCCTCGCACACACCTACTTCCCTCACACACACCTACTTCCCTCAACACACCTACTTCCCTCGACACACACCTACTTCCCTCACACACACCTACTTCCCTCGCACACACCTACTTCCCTCCACAACAACCTTACGTTCCTCACACACACCTACTTCCCTTCGACACACCTACTCTCCCTGCAAACACCTATTCCCTCACACACAACCTACTTCCCTAACACACTTACTTCCCTCACACACACCTACTTCCCTCACACACACCTACTTCCCTCACACACACCTACTTCCCTCACACACACAACCTTCATTACGATGAAGATTTAGACACATGTGCAACATCTGGGTATCTTTATTGTAAACATTTAGCCATCCAGTGGCTTTATCAAAACAGATTCTAGGACATAATTTGAAGACAGTAGAACTATATACAAAAGATGAGGTAATCAGTCCCTCAGCCTTGGAGCTGGTGTGAAGATCACCGTAGTCGTGTAGATTCTGCAGCAGAGGCAAGCAGACTGGCGAAACGTCTACAATAAAGACACCCAGATGTTGTACATGTGTCTAGATCTTCATCTTGTCGGGGTTATATACCAACTTGGCACTGGACAAGCACCTAAAGTCAGTTCCTGATCAGCCGGGCTGTGGCTCGTACGTTGGTTTGCGTGCAGCCAGCGGCAACAGCCTGGTTGATCAGGCTCTGATCCACCAGGAGGCCTGGTCACAGGCAGGGCCGCGGGGGCGTTGACCCCCGGAACTCTCTCCAGGTAAACTCCAGGTAAACTTGAATCACCAACTTTTTTTTTTTGATCAGATTTCAATGGGATTTTGGCAGTGCATTAAACAGCTTAAAAAAGACATATAGGCTGTGTTTGTTTTGACTGTTAGCCTTCAGGTTAGACAGAAAAAAATATTTTTGCACAATTTTATGGGTCCTAGGACTTTCCAATTTCTACTAAATTGGGAAGATGTACAGTGCTCTAGTTGACATCAGATGATAGATAAAGGCGAGGTCAATAATGACCCTGAGCATTTTAGCGACAATGTCAGTAGATTCCATTAAAAAAAATGTTGAAATTAGTTTCTTTTTTTTTTTTAGAGGAGGAAAAAATCATTAACAAAAAGCTGTTTACAATATGGCAAATATTCTCTGGGTGTTTGTAGAACCATCATTCCTCAATAACGTCTGCAAAAATCATGGCAATCCAATGAATATTTATCGAAAAAAATGGATTAAGATGTCAATAACTTATTACCGAGTTTTTTTTTATTTTTGTATATGTGAAACTCTAGGGTAGCGGCGCGCCACCTTTCAGCTTGCTACATCCCTCCTATCTTCTCTACAGCCTTCCGGCTACTGAGGGACTTATTGTAGCCTGCTACACCCCTCCTATCTTCTGTACAGCCTGCCGGCTACTGAGCGACTTGCTGTCTGCTCTCCACACACTAGCCAGCATACATAAAAATCGTAATTTTGGGAGGAAAAAAACAAAACAAAAAAACTCCTAATTGCCAACATGTATTTTTGCTGACAGCAGAACCAAAAAAAATACATTTAATGAAAAACATACTTAGAGATATGATAGAAACAAGCTGATTACATCAAAATGTTGCCAGAATTTTGCACTCTTTTAAAGTAAGAAAACATTTTTTCCATAATTTTTCAATTTTAATATCCTGATCACTGAAAAAAGGCTCACCCCTCCCTTCATTACCCCCTCCCATCAACCTTTCATATCGCGACGCTCCGCAGTTTGTACACTACAGATTTATGCACCCTACAAGTCATTCTATTTCGTTTCATCTTCTCAGCATCCCCCACCTCAGCCTTCTGGATAATACTTTTAGTTAACCTACATCTCCTAATAGCCAAACTACAAATCCTCTGCATAATATTCACACCATATATCACACTACCTCCATACTTCTTGCTGCATCATTCACAACTCATGATTCACACTCAAATAAATGTTGGTGCAATTATACCCTCAAACGTTTCCCTATTTGTGTCCATGAATAACAGTGTTTGTCGCCACAGGTGCCTCAATGAATCACCCAACTTTTTCCTCTCATCAGTTCAATAGTTCACGTCATCTTTCATAAACATGTCTGGTGACATGTCAACTCCCAAATATCGGAACACGTTCACTTCCTCCATACTCCCTCCTTCCAATCTGATATCCAAGCTTTCATTACCAACTCTTATGTTATTCTCATCACCTTTCTCATTCTGATATTCACTTTTAGTTTTCTTCTTCTACATATACTCCCCAATTCATTCACCAACCTTCGTAACTCCTCTTCAGTATCTCCCAGACACACACTTCCATCAGCAATAACCTAACTGTGACAATTTCCAATATACTACCAAGGTAAGTTTACTGAGGGAAAACGTTTGCTTATGTTTGAAAGTTATCATATTTTTTCTAGTGCACATACCTTAACGATCCAATGATCCTCTGGTGAGGATCACTGGATCCTTTGAAAGAAGTACACAGTATATGTTGCGTAGATGTTGTGTGGTTTGTTTATGTAAAAATATTTTGTGTGACCCTCAACAGGTACACGTACGTGCGACCTGTGGATGGCGTCTGGGGCGTACGACTTGATAACGGGTCGTGGTCTGGCATGGTAGGAATGGTGATGAGGGAGGTGAGTGGGGGTAGGAATGGTGATGAGGGAGGTGAGTGGGGGTAGGAATGGTGATGGAGGTGAGTGGGGGTAGGAATGGTGATGAAGGAGGTAAGTGGGGGTAGGAATGGTAATGAAGGAGGTAAGTGAGGGTAGGAATGGTGATGAGGGAGGTGAGTGGGGGTAGGAATGGTGATGAAGGAGGTGAGTGGGGGTAGGAATGGTGATGAGGGAGGTGAGTGGGGGTAGGAATGGAGATGAGGGAGGTGAGTGGGGGTAGGAATGGTGATGAGGGAGGTGAGTGGGGGTAGGAATGGTGATGAGGGAGGTGAGTGGGGTAGGAATGGTGATGAGGGAGGTGAGTGGGGGTACGAATGTTGATGAGGGAGGTGAGTGGGGTAGGAATGAGGGAGGTGAGTGGGGGTAGGAATGGTGATGAGGGAGGTGAGTGGGGTAGGAATGGTGATGAGGGATGTGAGTGGTGGTAGGAATGGTGATGAAGGAGGTGAGTTGGGGAAGGAATGGAGATGAAGGAGTTAAGTGGGTTTAGGAATGGTGATGAGGAGGTGAGTGGGGGTAGGAATGGAGATGAGGGAGGTGAGTGGGGTGTAGGAATGGTGATGAGGAGGTGAGTAGGGGGTAGGAATGGTGATGATGGAGGTGAGTGGGTAGGAATGGAGATGAGGGGGGTGAGTGGGGGTAGGAATGGTGATGAAGGAGGAGAAGTGGGGTAGGAATGATGAGTGGAGTGAGATAGTGGGGGTAGGAATAATGAAGAGGGAGGTGAGTGGGGTTAGGAATGGTGATGAGGGAGGTGAGTGGGGGTAGGAATGGTGATGAAGAGAGGTGAGTGGGGTGAGAATGGTGATGAGGGAGGTGAGTGGGGGTAGGAATGGTGAAAGGAGGTGAGTGGGGTTAGGAATGGTGATGAGGGAGGTGAGTGGGGGTAGGAATGGTCATGAAGGAGGTGAGTGGTGGTAGGAATGGTAATGAGGAGGTGAGTGGGGGTAGGAATGGAGAATGAGTGGGTAGATGAGTTAGGGGGTGGGGGGGGAGGAATGGTGATGAGGGAGGTGAGTGGGGTAGGAAGGTGATGAGGGGGTGAGTAGGGGTAGAATGGAGTTGAGGGAGGTGAGTGGGGTAGGAGTGGTGATGTGGGAGGTGAGTGGGGGTAGGAGTGGTGAATGAGGGAGGTGCAGAATGGGGGTACGGAATGGGGAGGAGGCTAGCCGTGATTGTTTGGGGTAGGAATGGTGATGTGGGAAGGTGAGTGGTGGGTAAGGGTTTCGGTGATGATGGGGAGGTGCGAGTGGGGCTTTGTAGGTACTCTGGTGATGTGGGTCGGTGAGTAGGGGTTGGTAATGTTGATGAGGGGGGTGAGTGGGGGTAGGGGTTTTGGATGAGTTAGATGAGTGGGGGTGGGAAGGGGTGAGAGGAAGGTGGGGGGGGTAGGAATGGTGATGAGGGAGGTGAGTGGGGGTGGAGGATGTGGGGAGGTAAGGGGGGTAGGAGTGGGATAGGGGTGAGTGGTTGGTAGGAATGGTGTAAAGGGAGGTGAGGGGGGGTGGAATGGTGATGGGGAGGTGAGTGGGGGTAGGAATGATATGAGGGAGGTGAGTGGGGGGGTGGAAATGGTGATTTGAAAGAAGTGAGGGGGGTTAGGAATGGTGATGAGGGAGTGAGGGGTTGGGTAGGAAATTGTTGAGGGGGGTAGTGGGGGTGAATTGTGAGGGATTATTGGTGGGTAGGAAAATTGATGATTTTTTAGGAAATGGTGATGAAAGTAGTGAGTGGGGGTGGGAAAATGGGATGGGGAGATGAGGGTGTTGGAATGGTGATGATGAGGTGGTGGGGGTAGGATTTGGGGGAGGGTTAGGTGAGTGGGGAAAATTGCTCTTCGATTATAATGTTATCAAAAAAAAGTAATTAATATGAAATGTTTCCCAACAAATCAGTTTGCTTGGATGTTTTATACTTTTTTAAAATTTTGCATTAAAACGCGAAGTGTTTATATGCGTTTAAAATTCCTTTAACCAAATTTTTTTTTATTACCTCTTTTTTATTAAGCTTTCCCAGAGCGGCTGATTTCGCTCTATTATTATTAGTATTGTTTTATTATTTTATTATTTTATTATTATTATTATTATTATTATTATTTTTATTATTATTATTAGTCAGTATTATTGTTGTTATTGTTGATGATTTTAAATTTAATTTCTTCTTTAAAAATGGGCCCCCCGAACAAAATTTTAATTTATTAAAATTTGCTTTAAACAAATTACATTGTGTTGTGATAAAGTTAGGTGAAGTCTCTAAGGTATTTTTTGTAGCCTAAATGTTTTATTTTTTTACACTGTATTCAATGAAGAAATATGTCTATTAGTCCATATAAGATAATTTTGAGGAAGTTAAATTTTTGGGACAGTTCGGCCTAATTGACCAATTAGTGTTTAAATATTTTAAAACTTTTTATAATGCTTTCTTGACTCCTGTACTAATTTTGTAAATTTTTAATTCTTTGTTGATATTAATTCTGAGTACTTATTAATAGAGTAAATATTAGATGATGCACAGATCTTTTTTGGTTTGCTAACATTGTTGATGTTTGATTTACAGGAAGTAACTATTGGTGCAGGTCCTTTCATGGTTGATAGATGGAGAGCTGAGGTAGTTGACTTCACTGTGCCAATGATGATAGATTACAGAAGGTTCATGGGGGCTCTTGGTGTTCCTGTGGTCGACCCGTGGGGCTTCTTGTTCCCCTTGGCTCCTCTGGTTTGGGTGGCCATCCTGGTTGTGTTCATTGTACTTTGTGCAGCGGTGTTCCTCATGTTCACAAGTTTTTCCCACAAGAGGAACAGTAACAGGACCTGGATGCTGGTCACCCTCGATTACATTCGAATATTATTACAACAAGGTAGTCTTTGCTTTCCTTTTCTGAAATTGAGTTGTCAAGATATTTTTATTTAATTTAAAATGTGGAATATTTCTCGTGTTCATCTCCGCTTGACTATATAAGAATTAACATTCATGTACTCACCAGGAGGTGGATGTATCAGTATATGTGTAGACAACAGTGGATGTTTTGTGGAGACCATAACTAAAAGGAAATACCATGAAAGATTAAGAAGAAAGTAAATGTTGAACAATTTAAATAAACAGAGGAAGCTTTCAGTTAATTTGTAGAGCGATGGTAGATGCTGAAGAATATTTGCTTTGAAAATAATAGCTGATGCGATACTCGGCCAAAATAATGAAAAAATTCCAGTGGTGTAAAAGATTCGCTGTAATGCTAAGCTAAGATGACCAAGAAAAAAGACTTTAAGAAAAACTTACTATTATGAATAGATTAAAAAGATTTTGGCAGTAGAAGTGAGCTTTGACGATACATAGAAGAATTAGTAACGACTCTTTTCTCAGGGACTTGCCGAGTCAAAATTTCATTATGAGAAAACGAGCAAAATTTTGGTAGAAACAATTTAAGAAACCAACAGATATATTTTAAATTTTGAGGGTTATTTCTGTATTACTCTAGGGTTAATATATAGTAGTTTGGTTAGGTAAGATTCGTCAGGAAACGGAGCAGGTGCTTCCTGGTGATGGTCTCATAACGACCAGCCACTCGAGCTTCTGGTCATCAGACCAACGTCTTCAGACTTATCGATCCAACACTTTAAAAATTAAGGTTAAACTGGTCTAGTTTTCCGCTACATGCAGAGGGCCGTATTTCCTATTACTTTATTATTAATATAGGTTTTACAGTCATATTAGTTAAATTTATAAGAAGAATCTTTACCAACCGGGCTGGGGTTCGAACGTCAGCTTGCGTGCGGCCAACAGTAACACCCTGGTTGATCAGACACTGATCTTAATGCCTTCGAATATTATAATACGGAGGAATGAAGACTTGTAGAAGTTATGTGGAATGTATTTGAAGCAAATAATGGGAGAAATTATAACACTTCAGTACACACTGATTTAAGTATTGTATGGTCAGACATTGAATTAACTTCTACATGGTTTTAATTAGGGATGTATATTAAGTGGTTATATTAAGTGGTTAGCAACAGTAGGAGACTGTTAACTGGATGTGAGAAGTAAATTTCAAGATTAAAATACTCGGAAACATAGTACCAACAAAATTATGATTTTGGGTTTACTTAGGAAAAAGATAAGCTTTTAGAAATATCATTTACAGTTTTATAATATGTGTGCACACAATTTGCAGAGAGAATTAGTTGGAAAATCAGATAAATTTCCTGAAAAGGTACATTCAGCAAAGCGAGAGAGCTAAATGAAGTGGAGAAATTTGGAGATTAAATAAAGGTATTACCGTAGTGCTAAATACTTATTTAATATTATCATCAGTTTTCAAAAACTGAACAGAAATTGGTATCTTATTAAGAGATGAGAAACCAGTAAAAATATAAATGTTTAGCGTGTTGAGTGAGAGTATTAATTTACACACACTGTTTACCTCTTGTCTATTATCAACCAAATATTTATTAGTACAGACGTGAAAAAATATTTTTTAGCAAGTGCTGAGTGAGGTGAACATATCCAAAATAATTTACCATGAATTTCAGAAATATTTAATTTATAGAAAAGCAGGAAAAAAGAAACATAAGAAAAATATAAGACTGACTACATATAGAATTGTTTATTTACAGATTCATTACTTCTGTGAGATGCTAAAGGCAGAAAGAAAGAAAAAATGCTAGTAAAAAGATTAATAATATCTGTTTATTAAGTAAACGCACTCATATTTTTTTAAATAGAGTCTATACTAGTTAATCAAGACAAGAAATATTGAGACTTGTTTTATCGGCAGCGAAATTCTGAAAGACAAGACAAATTGTGTTGCCAGTAGAGACGCTCTGCTACTGTGTAAGAGCAACGTTCACTCAGTAGAGTCGCTCTACTACTATGAAGAGAAAATGCTCCCCTCATTAAGGGGTTTTGTTAAGAGAACGTTTTAAAAAACCCCCATCAAAGATCCTTCCCACTGTAAAAAAGGGCCCAATTTGGGTTCCCTTTTTTAAAAAAGGGAAAGGGCCCCATCAAAGTTCACTTAAGGGGGCCCCTTTCCGGGTAAAAGCCGTCAAAGAAAAAACCCGCCAAAGAAACCCGGAAAAACAACCTCCACTCATGAGGCCCTCTCATTGTTAAACAACGCTCACCATAAAGGCTCTACTTTGGAAAATTCTCACAGTAGAGGGCCTTCACTTTTAAGAGCCCCAAAGGCCTCCCTTTTAAGAGCCTTTACTCTTTTAAGGCAAACCTATAGTAATCCCCCCCTTTTTTTCACGGTTAACAAGATGTAACCCTTTATGTGAAGAAAACCCTTCCCCCCTTGGGTTTTTCCAAACCCCCGTGAAGAGTTTTCCCCCCATGGTTTTAAAAAAACCCTTTTAAAAGGGCCCCAAAGAAGGCCCTTTCCCCCTTTAGGTTTTCCCCCCTTTTACTTTAGGGGGCCCCAATCGTAAGACGCTCCATTTTCCCCAAAAGAAACCCTCATAGTGGAACCTACTCAGTGATTTTACTCTTTAAGGAAAGTCACTCGTGAGGGCCAACTGTAAACAAACTTCACCATGGAAAAAGGCCCCCCACTAGAACGCTCACTAGAAAGAGCCCCCACTAAATTTTATACTGTGTAAAGAAGCTCCCCCATAAGTCGTCTCTACTTTTTTAAGAAGAAGGGTTTTTTTTGGGAAGCGCTCCTCTATCCTTAAGGGCCACCCACCGTATGTTAAAGGGGGCCCCTTTAATTTTAATCGTTAAAAAAAAAAAGGGTTTCCCATAATGAAATTTTTCCCGACCCACTCGTAAAAGCCCAACTGTAAGTTCTCAATTGGTAAGGGGCCCCCAAAGCTTTTAAAAAAGTTAAAAGAACGCCACTCTTTAGAGCCTCTTTTTAAGAGTCCCCTATTTAAAGGACCCCTTCTATTTGTTAAAAAAGAAACCCAAAAGCGCTCTATACGTGAAAGAGCCCCCTATCTAATCGCCCAAAATTTGGAAAAACCGATGGGAAACCTTTTGGGAAAAACGCCTCAGAGATTCCCCATTTTAAGAGCAACGCTCACCAGAAGCCCTTTTTTTAAAAAGAAACCTTTACTCATAGAGTTTTTTGTGTAAGAGAACCCCTCAGTAGATCCCTACTACTGTGTAAAGCAACGCCACCGTAAGTCCCCTACTATGTTAAAGAACCCAAAAGGGTTTTAATTGGTAAGACCAACAACCTTTTTAAGGACAACCCCTATTAAGGCGCCCTTAGGGGGGCAATTTTCCCGAAACGTACTTTTAAAAACCCCCTTTCAGTAAGGTTACCGTTTGGGGGAAAAAGAGCGTCTACACTTGTAAGAGCAAACCCCCTAGAGTCGCCTCCCTTTGAAGAGCAACCATTTAAGAGCGTTACTTTTGGAACCCAAAAATAAATCCTCAAATTGGTTTTGGGTAAAAAGGGGGAAAACCCATCAAAGGTCCCACACGGGCCCCGTCCCAAAAGGGTCTTTTCCTGGCCCCCCTGGCGCTCATGGAAGGGCCCCCAACTAGAGAAAAACCTCTGATAAAATTACAATTTAAAGGGAAAAGACGCAACCTTTATTGGGAAGGACCTTCTTCCTAGGTGGCCTTTTTTCCCCGTTTAGGAAAAACCCATGGGAAATCGTTAAAGGTAAACCGTTCCCAAATCGCTCACTATGGTAAAGAGCCCAAAGGGGAAACTTTAAAAGAAAACCTCATCTTTGAAAAAAAACCCCACAAAAGGCCCCTTTTTCTTTTTAAAAGCCCCATAAGTCCCTTTCACTTGAAAATTTTTTTTTATAGTTGAATTTCGAAAAACCAATCTTTAAACCCCAAAAATTTAATCCCATTTTTGGGGAAAACAAAAAAGGGAGCCCAAAAAATTTTTTTTAAAAATTAATCAATGTTTTAAGTAAAAATTATTTAGAACCCCGCCCAAACCCCCTTGGCAACCCTTTAAAGGTTTTTGGAAGAGAAAGGGTTATAAAAGGGCCCCCAATGTTTCCCGAAATGGCAAAAAACTTAATTTTAAATTTTTTAAATTTTTTTAAAAAAATTTTTCCAAAAATTTTAAAAATTGGCTCCAAAAAATTTTAAATTAAAAAAATTAAAAAAAAAAAAGGGGGAAAAAAATTTGAAAAAACCCCCGGGGGTTTCAAAATTTAAAAAATTTAAACCCCTTTTTTAAAACCCCCGGGCAGGGGGGCCCCCCAAAGTTTTTCCCTTCCGGGGGGGGTTTTTAAATTTAAAAAGGGGCCCCCCAAAAAAGGCCCCAGAATAAAAAGGGAAAAAAATTAAAAAAATTTTTGATTAAATTTTTAATTAAAAAAATAAAATTGTTAAAAAATTTTTTTCTTTTTAAAAAAAATTTAAAAAAAACCCGGGGAAAAATTTTTAAAAATTAAACGGGAAAAAAAATGGGGGAAAAAGAAAAATAAAATATCAGGGAAAATAAAAAAATTTTTGGGAAATTTTTGGGAAAAAAAATCGTAAAAATAAGAAAAAATTTATTTTGGGGGTTTTTAAGAAACTTTGTATAAAAAATTTATTTAAAAAAAAATTCCCGAATTTAAAATTATTTTTAAAAACGTTTTTGTTAAAAAAAAAAAATTTTTATTTTTTTTTAAAATAAAAAAAAATTTTGGGAAAAAAATTTTTTTTTTTGACTGAAAAATTTTTTAAAATTTTTAAAAAAATTTTTGGTTTTTTGATTTTTTGTTTGGGGAGAGTTTGGGGGAAAGTAATGTAAGTGATGTTGCTCTGTGTAAAGAAGTACTCTGGAACCTTGGCTTTTTAAGAGAAATTCCCTCAAATCCTCAAACGGGGAAGGGCAATGCCACCGAAGACGCTCTACTACGTGAAAGAGCAATGCCACTCAGTGAGTCCTCTACTGGG